GGCACATCCTTGTGCGACTAAGCCCTTTTCATGCAAGTTTGCTCTCACAGGGTTTTGGTCATTCGGCTTTGAGCGATTTAACTTTGGTGGATGCTTTTGCTGCGTCAGTTGGCTTGCTAGCTTGTGCTCATTTGCATCCACCTTGGTGCCCTTTGCCTGGGCCTAGACCCTAGGCGCCCTTCTGGTTGCCTGCGCCTCAGGGTCCTGTAGTTGGCCTTGGCTAGTCCCCTGCCCTAGGGCCCGTGTGCATCACTCCTGGTTCCGTGTTACCTTTCTAGCACTTGTTGCCTCCTCTGCTGCCTGCGCTTCTTGCGGTCCATTCTGGATGTTTGAGAAGTGCTGTCCTTGACTGACTTAAAGGTTGCCCTTTTGGCCTACTTTGGCCTCCTCCTGCACTGTGGTTACTGGTGCGAGATGCTGGCAAACGTCTTCTTCACCTTCTACCACCGCTGCGGGGCTGCTGAGAGGTGCTGATGTGAATCACGCCTCGGTTGCTATGAGATTTTGGTGACTCCAAGCCTGCTGCTTGGGTGGGTTAAGCTACTATCCGCTGCTTGAGATGATACCGTCTTGAGCTGCTACCGCCCAGATGGAGATGCGACCGATGTAATCTCCTTCTGCCACCGCCGTGGCTGGCTCTTCACGGCTGTTGTGCTTTCTCCCTGGGCAGCCGTTTTTGCTGGCTGCTGCACCAGGACTTCTGGAGCTGCTGCGACTTCGCCTGCGCAGCTGTTTCCGTTGGCGCTGTCGCACCTGGACTTCTGGGGCCCGACTCCTCAGCTCGAGCCTCACTGGTGATTGAGTACTCTCAAGGTGAAGTGTTTTACTGTACTTTGACTCTCCTCCTCATGCGTGTCTTTGATTTGCTAGGGTCGAATAGTTCCCCTAGCTTGTTAATCTTCCTTCTCACGAAAACCAGTCTTTGTCTTTAGCATTGGCTGGCCATTTCGGCATCTCCTCCGGATTTTTGAGCTTCTCGCTTTTCACAAGAGGGTAGGCTTGCTCCGTCAGACTCCCTAGCTTCCAGAGTTCCCTACTCCATTGTATAGCGTTTGTGTACACGTGCTACATGTATGCCTTTTGTGCAACCTGACGTGAAGACTTCGCCGTGCGCTTGCCTCGCCTTAGGGGTGAGCGTGCTTGACACACACGAGAGGCCCTGGTCAAGAAAGCTATGACCACAAAGTTTCTCGCAATGCTGGTCCTCCTGGACCTAGCCGAAGAGCTAGCGATCAAGTCGTGCAAGCTAGGCCCTGACCTGGATCAGGCGCGAGGCTAATCAGCTAGCTGATGATCTCACGAACGAGAATTTTAAAGAGTTCAGCCCTGAATTTTGGATACCTTTGCAGGGCGAAGAGATCAAGTGGCGAGTGCTAGATAAGCTACTGGGCCACGCGGACGGCTTTTACCAGGAGCTGCTACATTTTAGATTTTAAGCAGCAGGGCAAACCTGGACCTTTAAAGGTAAAGAAATCCGAGAAGCTCCGCAAGCTAAAGCCCTGGTAGCCCTCTGTGGCTACGCGTGGGACGGCGTGGGAGATGGCTAGCTGAAAGCNNCTAGAGACTTCTCTCGGGCTACAAGGAGAGTATGGCTAGCGGGTTGCGAGAGTCTGCAGGAGACGTCTCTCCGTTGACACAGAGAGCGGATTTCTGCCACCAGGCTGAAAAGACCGCTGCGTGCTTTTAGCTAGGGCTTTGCCGTTGAGCGAGTGTGCACGAGCTAGTTCCTTTTTGGTAGCTGCAAGTAAAGTGGGGGCCAGTAAAGTGCCAACACAAGGGTCTTGCCAGTGAGAGCTTGCGCTTGCTACTTGCTACCTGTTTTTCCTTGAGCTAGCAAATTCTAGCTACAGAAACCGTCACCTTTTAACCTTGGGAGGAGAACCTCGGGTTGGTGGTGGGCTAGTTAGTAAGGCTGACGCACAACCCCGTCCATCTTTGAATGACTGCGCTAACCAGGGCATCCTTTCCCAAACCATAACTCCATTCGTGGTCCAAGAAGAGCATACGCTGACCCGAGCGTGCGTGCCCAAACCATGCAAAACAAAGTTCGTGTTTCAAGACGATACGATGACCAGAGCATCCATGCCCAAACCATAATCCCGTTCATCTTTGAATGGTTGCGCTAACCAAAGCATCCATGCCCAAAACCATAATTCTGCTCGTTCCAAGAGCATGCATGCCCAACCCACAAGTCCGTTCATCTTCTGACGATTGCGCTAACCAGAGCATCCATGCCCAAACCATACTTCCGTTCTTCTTTCAAGAGCTTACTGTCGCCAGAGCATCCCCAAACAAACAATAAATCCGTTCATTTTTTCATGATTGCGCTAACCAAAGCATCCATGCCCAAACCATAATTCCGTTCGTGTTCCAAGGGCATACGTTGACCAGAACATCCATGCCCAAACCATAATTCCGTTTGTTTTCCCAGAGCTTACAATCACCACAGCATCGTGCCCAAACCACAACCCGTCCGTCTTTTCATGAATGCGCTTACCAGAGCATCCGTGCCCAAACCATAATCCCATTCGTGTTCCAAGAGCATATGGTTCCCGCAGCATCCGTGCCCAAATCAAAATTCCATTCGTTTTCCAAGAGCACACGCTCATCCAAGCATTCATGCCAAACCATAATTCTGTTCATCTTTACAAAGCGCGCTCACCAGAACATCCGCACCCAAACCATAGTTCTGTTTATCTTTCGCTGAATGCGCCTAACAGAGCATCCATGTCAAACCATGATCCCGTTCATGTTCGAAGAGCATACGGTCACCACAGCGTCCGTGCCCAAACCATAATCACGTCCATCAATGAATCAATGAATGCATTTACCAGAGCATCCATGCCCAGACCATAATTGCGTTCGTATTCCATGAGCATGCGGTCACCACAGAAATCCGTGCCCAAGTTACAATTTTTCGTCTTTCCAGGAATGTGCTTGCCAGAGCATCCGTGCCCAAATCATAATTCCTTTCATCTTTTAATGACTGCGCTGACCAGAGCATCCATGCCCAAACCATAACCCCGCTCATGTTTGAATGAATGCGCTTACCAGAGCATCCATGTCAAACCATAATCCCGTTTGTGTTTGAAGAGTATACGGTCACGGCAGCGTCCGTGCCTAAACCATAAATCCGTTCATCTTTTGATGATTGCCCTTACCAGAGCATCCATGCCCACACCATCCATGCCCAGACCCTAATCCCGTTCGTGGTCCCAGAGAGTTTTCGTTTACAGCTCGAACCGTGATGTTTCAAAGTGTTGCATGTTTGCGGGTGGACATGTGTGAGGAGTCGCGACGCAAAACACCCTGCCGGGTGTGGTAAGTGGCGCATCAACACGAAAACCGCACCGCACGCGCAAAAACGCTCGAAATCACAAAAGGGGAAACATTGGCAGGCATGGCGCGAAAATTAGATTTTTCGTCTTTTTTCCGCATGACCCGTCAAAGAAAACGCGTTCCAAAAACGATTTCTTTCGCACGACCATTGGCAGGCGTGGGACGAAGTCCACATTGCAGTTGCTTTTGGCCCACGGCCGCTAACGCCGGCGGGACCTTGTTTTTTGCAGAACTGGCATGCGGCCTTTGATGTTCAAGCTTGGGGCATGAGCAAATTTTTCTGCTCACCCGCCCACAACCTCGACAAGCGTGTTGCGCTTCTCAAGTACCACCTCGTGGCGTCAGCTCTCTCGGGCATCTACATCCTTGTGGCTATTAGCAACATAGTGCCAAATAGGAGTGAACAGAGTTGCCTACCCAGCCGTACAGCAAAGACCAGGCAGTGCCATTGTGAAGTCCCCTGTGTTGAAAAAGAGTGAAATGTTTTGAGTTGATTTGTTGAGTAATTCAATAATGGTTCGATGGAAAAGTTCTATTGGAATGATACATTTGAGTGATTTTGTGACATAAAAACCATGCAAGGAAAAAACAAGCAGAGTGCAAGATCAGAAAGGTCGGTGTATGACGCAATCACCGTTTGTTCAAGTCGTATGTTTGATCATGTTTACTTGATCCATCTGTCTGGGCTCCTTGCTGGTATGATCTTTGACAGCGCAGCAATCTGCTGATGCGTGCCCGCACCACATTGGTGAAAAACAATGGTCGCTCGTTATGTTGCGGCATCTTTCGATTACATCGACTGTTGTTCTTCATCGCCATTTGTTGGTCACCGCATGTGGTGGCGTTTCTCGAGCCCAACTGTCAATGGGCTGAGCACCACAATTTGTGGCATGACGTCTTCAGTGCGACAAGTCGGAAAACTTCATGTTGCATATTGCAATTTCAGTTGAATATTGATTGGGAAAATGAATGTCATGAATGAAGTGCGCATATATTCAAGAATTCAGACTGTTGTCTGAATTTGAAACATGTTCTCAAATGTGAATGATTTTGCCAGGATTGATGATGTTGAAACTTGTTCGACTCAGAATATACTTGAAATGTCGCATGTCTTGTTTGCATTCATTATTCATGTTCGTCACAACATTTTGCATGCGTGGCTGTTGTGTTGAAAACCGTTTACCCTCCCCCTGGCTTGCCGGGGCTGGCTGCACAATGGCATGATGTCATGTGTACAATGACAGAACATAGCAGATGATGCAAATTCGGGCAAGATACGAATTAATTCGGACCCTTGTGGTAGAACAAGACATCAGAACATTAACAAACATTTCAATACAGTGGTTTCCCACAAAAAGCACGTGGGGGGTTTGCCTCGGTCCAGAGACGTTCGCAACTGTAGACGAGCATGGCGCGCGCCAGCGCCTTAGACTCTTGGACATGGATGTCATGTCGTGTGCTGGCTTTCACAGGGTGTGAGACAAATCCTTGTAAAAATCAAAATAAAGAAAGCAATCAGGATAATTAATTCGTCCAATAAAGCAGGGCCAAAGCTTTTTTACGGTGACCCAAAGCATGGTTGTGCAATTCTTTACAATGTTCCCAACCAGTGCATTAGCAAAGCAACATGAGCTGCGTTGTTCCTAACTGCATGTGGTTAGGTCGGATCTGTTGATTTTACGGCGTTCAACCATAGCCCTCCACAGCGAGCTCAATACTGGCGGGAGGCTGATGTGCATATTCGGCCAAATATGAGAGGGGCTGGAATATTGCTTTTGCAGGTCATCAATCGAGAAACATGGGTTGCAAGCTGAGCTCATCCCATACCATGAACTTTGCCAAGGTGCGCAGTGGATTTTTGAGACAACAGATTCATGCTGAGGAACACACATTCCACCCACTGAATGAGCGCTTGCCGCTTCCAAATTACAAGGACGCTTATGGCAAAGATGCAATATGCATTGGGCGTTTTTTCCTCAATGTGCCCCGTGGGGAACAGGACTTGGTTTCGTCCAGCAAAGATGCACAAAGCCAGCCATGGCGTTTGTTGAGGCAGTGCAGTTTTTGGCACCTGCAAATGCCCTACAACTTTCAACTTTCTACGTAGTTGCCAGGCGCTCTTTTCAGGTAGGTCGGGACGATTTCGGTGTCCCACTTAGTCCCTTCCTCTTGTGACATGTCCTTGTTGGGTAGTTTGGAGTGTTGGTGCACTTTTGCACATTTTCACTTCGACTCAGTAAGGAATGTCGTACTTGGACGGCAGACAGCAACCCACAGGGTGGACCTGCTTCATATTTAGTGCTCAGTTGTGGGTGCTTGGCGTGTGAAGCTGACAGGCTGTCAAAGTATGATTGTGGCCGTCCAGCAAACATGCTCATGAGCGCAGCCCCTGCTGGACGCGCTGTGATCCCAGCACTGCGCAGCAGTAAGTGCGCATTGAGGACATTTCTTGTGCTGAGGTGCCTTTGGATACCATAAAGTTGAGCAGTACTTTGAGTTCCCGCAAAACAGCTGGAGAATCTTGGTCGAAATTCTTGTTGTCAACTGGAGAAGCAAGACCGCGATCTTGCGCAGGCACGTCAGATGTCAGCCACCATTGCATCAATGAGAGGAGATAGTACTTTTGGAAGGAGTCGGTGGCTCAGTGGTAGTGGGGATGTGTTGTTCTGGATGTCAGCACTCTGTATTCTTTGTTTTGCTGCTCTTTTACGGAAGGTGACAAGCTGCCAACGGTCCGCGCACCTGCATGCAGCAACAACCGCCCGGGTACATCCCCCATGGTTTTGCACAGCGCAATCTGAGCCAAAGGCACAAACGTATGAATGCAAGGATGGGGCTTTACGAGCATGCCAACTTTGCGCCGCCTGCTAAGCTGCCAAACGCTCTATAGATCGAGCAGCTGCCCGGTGTGCTTGCCACGGATTGAGGATGTGCTGACATTGAGAGACCTCCATCCTTCGCACGGATTCTGAATGTATAGACTAGATATGTGCGCTACGCGTTTTATCCTGTTGGCAAGTGACTGAGTCATGGATGCCCAGGGCTTGCAACGCATGTGTACACAGTCCTCGCTGCGACTGGCAACTCATCGTCAGCAAAGGGGACTGTCATGAAACAAGTAAAGTGTCGATGAGCGGAATCTGGAAAATCGTGCTTGTCGTTTTTTGTTGGCTGGGATCAACAGCTCCCTCTAGCCTTTAGCCCTCGAAAGCCAGCCAATGTTATGCCACGGCTGCCGCTCCACCGCAGCCGTTGAAAAGCTTGGGGCCGCAAGCGCACGGCAGTGTCCACGCATCTATACTTATGCCAATGACGCGCAGCAAAGCGTTGCTGGTCCAGCAGTGAGCTTGGCTGCCGGCTAGCATGGAGTGAAGGGATAGACAGGACACGTGACACTCCGACCCTTGACCTGCTTGCTCCAGGACTTCCTAGTGGCTTGGTCGTGGTGCGCGGGGTTGTGATCTCACAGCTTCCTGGTTCACAGCCCAGAGTTAAAAACACACAAGCATGCGTGAAGAACATTTAGCAAATGGCCAGGTCGAAGACCATGATGCAACGAAGATCCATTTTTGGTGGGACTTGTCCTCAGCGCACACGGCTTTGTAACAAAAGCTTGGCTTGTGCTTTCCTCAAGTCAGGAGCATTTTGCCCCCAATAGATTACATGGATTTACACCAGTGAGCTCAAGGTGGACTGAGGCTAGCACATGGCTGCTTGTCACAGGGCCAAGTTGTCGAGGGGTCCCGGCCAAATTGGTAGCTTTTTTAGGCGAAGAGCCTAGGAAAGCCCCGAAAAGGGTACCTATTCTCTTGCGCGCATCAGGGTCACGCAGAAACGTTCCTTCAAGTGGCACATTTTTCATGACGCTGCTGTCTCCCTGGCAAATACTTGCAGTTCCACTGCTGAGCAGGCTCAGCGGGGCGGGAGCCTCTATCAGCAGTGTGACTTTTCATATGAGGTCAGGCTTCATGAAGGCATCGTGTTTCCTTCATGCCAGATCGATCCTAATTAGAGGCATCCAAATGCGGCGTCAGCCGTCTCAATGCATTGTATTGCTGCCTGCGTGATGTCCTACGGACAATTTTGTTTTGAGTGTAATGTTCCTAGGTGAAATTGAGGACCCTCAGACTTGTTTCAGAATTGAAGGGGCCTTGTCGTGTGCGGATTGGCCAGCTCGATCATAACAGCAGATAGATCATGCTGCCTGGACAGCCGACTTGGCGGTAAATACGTTGTGAATGTTGTCACCTCTTGCATGACTTTCACTTGTTTTGAAGACATTGACATGATAGCAAGTAAGTCTCGGGACCTCTGGCCAGAGTACGGTTGAAGCATCAGTTGTCGCAGACTCACGCCCTGCAAATTTTGAGGCGGAAGTCCAAGGTTTCGCACAAGGACGATTGCAGCAACGCAAGAATTCTGTGCACATAGTGCCCACAATCCGGATTTGACAGGACCTGCTGCAAGCGAAGGCAGGTCACAGTAGCTGTATCTGTCAGCCTTGCTTACCTCACGTACTTTTACTTCCATTTTTTATCATAAAGGCATTATTACTTGACCAGCCAGGTGAGGCCCGAAGCTCCTCCCGACATTGAAACGCAAATCAAGACTGCCTGGCTTGCTTCAGCGATGAAAGGTGTCGAGTACATTGGCAAGAGGCTGCTTGAGCTTTGAGGCAGATGGTCCAGCAGCATGGACGACTGCACGCCAAGACCCTGACGTTGATGAACCACCAAGCTTTGGAACCGCGCTCAGCAGCTGAACCCGTGCTCAACTTCTAGAAGTGCGGGCATCTATGCCAGTGCGTTCCATTCCATCATGTCAGAGGCATATCGGGATGTGGACAAAAACGAAGAAGCCTTGCAGCTCTACAGAGAGGTGGGGCATGGCGTTGTGAGAGAAGATGCAAAAGCAAGGAGCACACATGCAGGCAATTCTGCGCAGACTTGTGCCGCTATCCATGTGCTTTGCAGCTGCACTACCATCAGCCAACTTAGACCCCCCACCCCCGACCATGAGATTTTAAAAGATTGCTCCAGATGAGTTCTTGTTTGCTTGCTGACAACTTTTTATTTCCATATATCAGGCTTGCTTTCTTTTGGGCAAGCGCCTCAAACTTTAAGAACAACAAGTGGCATGCATTTTGTTGATCTGCTTGAAGCATGATTCCCCCCACCCGTTTTGGGTTTAAGAGAACCTTGTGGCAACAGACTGGGGCTGTCAAAAATATTTCTTCGTCATTTAATCATCATTTGTTCCTCATGTCCCTGATTTCATCCATCATCATTTTTTCATCATTTTTGGCCGTCTGGGTTTTTCATCATCATTTCTTGGAGGTTCTTGAATTCCACTCTCACGGTGGCGGTGCTTTTGGCTTCTGGTGTCTTTCGCCACAGGCAACAGTCACAGCTTTTCTGAGTGTTTCCCCCTTGAGCATGCTTTCTCACTCTTCAAGCTGTTGCATGTTCAAGGTGCAGACCCCCAAATGATTCTTGTGACGGGATCATATGATTTCTGCGTGGCTACCGTGTGACACACCCGCATACCCAGAGAGCCAAATACTTTCAGTTTTTTGGGAACGTATCCTTGTTCATATTGAGAATCTGTACACATCTACATTGTCTTCTTTCGTGTCGGATATAAATAATGAATTTCTCCAGACGCCCGAAGAAAGACTAATGAAAAATAATGATTTCTGAGCAGATCTGGGGTGGCTTGGCAGGGGGTCTGGGGGAGGGGATCCGTCATTTTTCTTTTTTTTTTTTTTTTTTTTTTTCTT